TGGTGGTGCATGCCTGTAATCCCAGCACTCAGGAGGCTGAGGCAGGAGGATCTTTCCAAGTTCAAGACCACCCTAGGCTACAAAGTGAGCTCAAGGCCAGCCTGAACTGCATAGTGAGATCCTGTCTCAAAAAGACAAAAATAAATAAATAAATAAAGGGAAAGGAGACAGCGCTGAGCTGTTCAACCTGATAGTCAGTACTCAACAGCACATGTGGTCACGGTTATTGTATTGGACAATGTAGATGACAGGGTAGGGCCCCATCCTAGATAGTTCCCTCTAATACCACTGGTGTGACAGAGCTCTGTAGGATAATTAGTACATTTAATTTCATAGAAATAGAGAGCCCTATGCCAAATAAACAAAAACATACCTTCCTTTTAAGACTTTTAGAGTCACTGTGCCTGGTAGTGCACACCTGTAATCTCAGCCCTTGATGGGCTGATGCAGGACAATCACCATAAATTCAAGGCCAACCTGACTACATATCAAGAACCCAGCCCAGTGTGGTGGCACACGCCTGTAATCCCAGCACTCGGGAGGCTGAGGCAGGAGGATCGTTGTGAGTTCAAGACCAGCCTGGGCTACAAAGGGAACTCAAGGCCAGCCTGAGCTGCATAGTGAGACCCTGTCTCAAAAATACAAAAAAGAACAAAAAAAAACAAAAAAAAAAACCATAGCGAGAACCTGCCTCAAAAAACAACCCCCTACATACACACACACACACACACACACACACACACACACACAGAACACTTCTAGAACACATACGTTAACAATAAATGAGGACAAAAGAAAATCTAAGCATATTTTCCAAAGAAGAAATTATAGAAACTACATACCCTATCCACAATGCAATGAAATTATAATTTTGCAATGAAGGAATAGTCAAAGACACGTACATTCATGCTTATCTACACACTTGGCTGGAAATTTTAAAATATCATTTTAAATAAGTCTTGAGTTAAAGCAGAACTCAAGCCTGAAATTACACACTATGGAGAAATCTGAACCACACTAGGAATCTTCTACAAAGCAGAACGGCACTCCGAGGGAAATTTAAAGGCTTGGACGTATGTATGAGAAGACATTAAAAAGTGGAAATAAATGAACTCAGCACCCATTTCAAGAAGACAGAAAAAAGGAACTCCAAGTAGAGCGAAAGAAAATCTCAGGTATGTCTTTCTGCTGAGTTCAAATTACTCTGTCTAGCACTATTCGCAATTTTTTATTTGAGGTAAGAGGTCTGACCTAATTCCCAGCTTCAATACTGAGAGTATATTCATTAGGATTTTCTAAATAAGTTACATTGAAAGGCATGAAGTAACCCCCAACTCCAAAATGGAAAATATATCAAGCTTCTTCATCAGAATGACCACTGAACCATTAGCCCTTCTCAATTTGGTTTACAAATTTAATACATGAGCCCCAACAAAACTATATTCTGCTCTGGAGACTTGTCTGTTTGGTGCTGGTACTCGAGATTGAACCCCAAGGGCCTTCATACTGAGCTACATTCCTAAACCTTTTTTAAATTTTAAGACAGGGTCTTGCTAAGTCACCCAAGCTGGAGTCCAACACGAGATCCTCCTGCCTCAGCCTCCCAACATGCTGGCATTACAGACGTGTGTCACCATGCCTGGCTTGAATAGATTTTTAAGTGTGAGCAGTACTGTGCCCTTTCTCAGCTGCTTATGTCGGGAACACTCTGCATTCCCCTAACAGTATCTCTATGCCTTTGTTTTTTATCTCTTGATGCTTAGTGCCTTTCGAGGACTTGGTTTACCACAGTGCTGACAGCCTCTAAACTTGATCCCCCTTGACATTTTGTCTCCCTACTGTGTTGTATCTCAGATCGCCATGAGGTTATCTCCAAAGAAATCCTGGAGCTGGACCCTTGGGAAAACCAGTGGAATGTTGTCGCCATCAATGTCCTCATGCACGACAGCTATGACGTCTGCCTGGTGGCCAGGATGAACCCCCGAGACCTCATCCCCCCACCCTCAGACCTGGTGGAGGACGGCAGGGACCACTGAGGCCAGCGCGGCTGCAGGCCCTCAGAGTGGAGCACACCCTCAGCCCCCTCTCACCGTCCCGGGACATGGCTGCGACCGTGGTGCATGTGTGTTGCGTGTGTGGCAGCCCTGGCGAGCACTGCGCTGTGCTGGGAGGGAGAACGCAGGGCCCCTCAGACAGGACACTAGGAGGCCGGAGGTAGTAGCACCAGGGGTAGCATGGAGCGGGCCACAGAGTGCAGGAATGGAAGGATCTTGCTCTGCTGGGGACTCAAGAACAGAGGGTGAGACAGGCGTGGTGGCACATGCCTGTCACCCCAGCACTCAGGAGGCTGAGGCAGGAGGATCACTGCGAGTTCGAGGTCAGCTGGGCTATATAGTGAGCTCAAGGCCAGCCTGAGTTACATAGAGACCCTGTCTCAAAAAAAAAAAAAAAAACCCTCCCCCCACCCCCCCAAAAAACAGGAACAGAAGGGGCCATCCTCAAAGGTCCTGAGGGGGGAAGCCATGCACCTGTGTGATACCCCAGTCCCCGGGCCACACTCCATGGGCACCGGGTTTGCTACCAAGACCAGGAAAAAAGTAGCTGTAGCTAAATGACCACAGATGCAAGGACAAGGGCTTTGGACGCGGCTCTTGAGCAAAAGAATTCTCTCAAAACAGTGATAGCAAAGCAAGTCTTCCCTCTGCTGGGGCTCCCATCTCAGCAGCACTGCTAGTCACCGTGGGAATAGCCCCCTGCTGCAGCCTCGTCACTGGCAATGTGTCCAACCACCCCTGGCAGGCATCGAGAGCACAGAACTCCTCCCAGAACAGGGACAGTAGTTCTGTGGCCCTCAGCCCCCGGGGTCGGCACCACATGTCGGACCAGACTTCCGCAGGCTGCTCCTGCCCAGCCTGGCTCACCCTCTGTTCACCAGGAAGCCTGGCGTAGGTTGTCCCCAAAGTCCCCTGGCGTGGGATGGATCTCTGGTGGCCAGAACGGGCGATGTTTTGAAGCCATGGGGCTCGGTCTGGCGCTGAGGAAGCTGAGGTAGGATGAGCTGCTCTGCTACCTCACGGAGGCTGCGCTCTGCCGCTCTGCCTGTGGGCAGCGGGGGCCAAGGACAGGCCCCGGGGGCCTCTGCCTCTTCAGGACACAGGGCTGCTGAGCTGCTTGCCTCAGCTGCAGGGCCCTGGCCTGTCTCCCAGCCCATCTGGGTGCCCTGGGTTTGAGACTCCGGTCCCAGCTCCGCTGGTGTGGAGCGAAGAGAAACTGCCTTGGCGCTAAAACAACAAGCACGCTTTAGCCACCACGGCTGTTACCACTGTCGCCCGTGTTCCCCAAACAGAGCACACACAACCGAGCCCAGCACTCCAGGGACACCTGGACAGTGTCAGCCGAGGAGGGTTAGCTCCTCTGCTTGGCTTCTTGGGGGCTGAGAAGAAATGTTTCCTCGGTGCTGCAGCCTGATCCTTCTGTGGACACCCCAAGGGCCCCCTGAGGGCCACAGGTGAGCCGGTCTGTCACCCGCTATGAAAGGCACGGCCTGGTGCTGCCATCGCTGTCCCCTGTGAGGTCTCATCCTCAGTGTCAGAACACACCGTCCCATCTGACGGGGAGGCCGAAGCCCAACGCCCAGAGCCAGGACAGCCAGTGTCCCTGGCTGGCTTAGCCCTGAAGGACAGGCCGGCGCCCAGAGACCGGCGTTCCCAAACCTGTTCCTAAAAAGCGGCTTCCCAGATTTAATTTTTCTTTCTGATCATAATTTGTCTTTAATTTAACATAATAGATTGCTTCTTGTTTCCGTGGTATTGTGAGCTTGGGTGCTTCTTGTCTGACTGCCGTTTATAACCAAACACAACAGCCTACAGACAGCCGATGTCGATGCCTCCTCCCTCGGGCAGATTTGGGCCATTTCCCCCGGGCACAGCCCCGCTGTGACTGAGGCTCTGTCCTGGACTGGCTGCTTCCTGTGCCTGAGACTCTGGGGAACACAACGGGAGGGAGTTCAGCTGGGAGCGATCCATAGCACCGCCATCCCCAGCTGGGTGCATGTTCCCGACAGCAGCACTGCTGTCCCATTGACTACAACAAGCAAATGCTTTAGGTCCAAACTTACAAAATAAAAACTTTCCTTGTAAAAGACTGCTTGAATGCTGGTTTTCACACGGCACCTCCGTGTGAGTCCGTCTGAGAGGGGTTCCTGAGCCTTAGGGGTGCCAAGCAGCCCCAGAGCTGGGAATGACCAGGCAGAGGGGACAGCAGAGGGAGACAGGCAGCCTGTGAGGTGGGAGACAGGCAGCCAGTGGCCCCAGTTCCTAGGCAGCCAGAGCACAGGAGGATGTCGGGCAGCCTTACTCCCAGCTACTCCAGAGGCTGAGGCAGGAGGATTGCAAGTTCTAGCCCAGCTTGGGCAGTCTATGGATTTTACAGGTCCCTCTCAAAATAAAAAACACAGAGAGGTCTGGGGTGTAGTTCAGTGAGTTCAAGCCTCAGTACAAAAGGAAGGGCGGGGAGGGAGTGGAGAAGGAGAAGAGCGGGGCGGGGAGCGGACATTGTAAGTAGGAAGTAGGAGGAAGCCACCAGGTCACCACCCAGGCTGAGTGGTGGCGCTCAGGCTTGGGGTTGTGTGGCAGGCCCTGGGTGCTCTGGGAGCTTCCAAGCCTGGGGGCCACTGGGAAAGACTCTAGCTGTCAGAGCCCCCCAGGGCTGCTTTATGGACCTGTCGACTCTCTTTCCAAGAAGACCTATAAGGCGGAGGCAGAAGGGCCAGGCGTGGTAGCGCACCCCTGTAATCCCAGCGCTTGAGAGACTGAGGCAGGAGGATCACCACAAGTTCAAGGCAGACTGGGCACATAGTTCAAAGCCAAGCTGCGCTACATAGTGAGACCCTGTCTCAAGAAAACAAGAAACAAAAACACCAGAAGGAAGAAAACATGTCTAAGAGCTGTCCTTCCAGAGAAACAAAGGCTACACGGGGTCTGTGTTGTTTCTTCTAGCTGCAGATGAATTGACTGTTATCTCAAAATAAGGAGTATGAATTTCCTGTTTAGAAAAAAATGCAGCTCAGTGCTCATTTAATTTTCAGCAACTGTGCTCGCTTCAGCAGCACATATACTAATTTTCAGCAACCGAGAATTCCTGTATTTTGTAAATGGAAAGACCACTCCTAAAACCAGGATGCTGTAATCAAAATGATGTCTTTCATTTCCGAGGACTATCAATATACCAGAGTTGGGCCAGGGATTTAGCTCAGCGGCACAGTGCCTGCCTGGCAAGCGCAAGGTCGTGAGTTCGATTCCCGGTACCGGGAAAAAAACCAAACAAACAAAAAACAACAATATACCAGAGTGATGCAAAAATAATAACAAAGGGAAGACGCGCTTCGGGAGTGAAGTTAGGACTGGTCCCCAAGTTCCTCAAGGTAAACTGCAGCCACAAGCAGCAGCGGCAAACAGCCAAAGGGTTAATGTAGAAAAAAGGAGAGCGATGCCCCTCTGCTCTGGGCTCAGGAAAAGCAGCTCTGGGTTCCTTCTTTTGGACCAGACAGACTCTAAGCCACCTAGTTTCTTAACTGGCCCTGCCCCTCACTAGTTATGAGAACTTAAACACTCTGTGCCTCACTTTTCTCACTACAATGGGAGTAATGACAGCACCTTTGGGGCGGAGGGTACCATGACAATTAAATAAGAAAGGATGTGTTAGGCTCTTGAGATAGTGGTTGCCACAGTAAGTGTGTAAGAATACCAGCTAGCAAAAGTAACAGTCCTGAGAATTCAGCCCCAAGCTAAGGTCTATAGGGCTGAGGCAGAAAAATGGGAGACTTGGCAGAGGTGAAATTGGAGCCTCCTGAGCCAAGCTTGTTAGTGCACACCTGTACTCCCTGCACTTGGGAGGCTGAGACTGAGGGATCTCTACAAGACTGAAGCCAGCCTGAACTACATAGCGATGATAGAGGTGTCTTGGTTAGTTTTCTCTCGTTGCTGGGACAAAATACCTGAAGCTCAAAATTAAGGAAGGAAAGGTTTATTCAGCTCACAGTCTGTGGAGGTTTCAGTCCATAATCAGCCAGCTCCAAGGCAGGGTGGCATGGCACAGGGGCAACACTTCAAGGTGGCAGAAGATGGCAAAAGCAGCAAGAGCCAAATGGGGAGAGAAGCCTCTTTCCCTCCCTTGCATTGTAAGCAGGCTACCTGCCCTGGGGGTGGGGGGGTAGCACTCACACCATTTCCATGCCCTCCTCTTGCACAGGATGAGGATGTTTACAAAGTGAGGACCTTGGACCCTGCTACCTATCTTATTTAAACCTCTAGACTTCTCAAGTTGACACAATGTATCAACCATTGCAATATAAGATAGGGCTGTGGCAAAGCTGGCTGGGAAAATGAATGGGACCTGTCAAACACAAGATCTCAGGGCAACATGAGAATCCCAAATGTACAACTTCTCTTGAGCTCCTCCCACATATGTATGGTATAAAAAAAAAGACTGGATGCCATGGTGAGCCGCTATGGTGAGTTCCCATAATAGCCCACACTGAGTTTCTCAGATGTGACATGTACTTTTATTTTTGTTTTTTCCTTTTTCTCTTTGTTTGGCCCAAATTTGCTCTGCATAGCTGGTTTCTCCCATATCCATTCATGTCACACTTTTCAAATGAACTTTTGGCACCATTTTTGGCCTGTCTTGTCCAGTTCTTTATTTAAGGTAAGAAGAACCTGGAATACTTTTGATTGTTGAGCCATTTCTAAAGAAACTACCCTATAATAGCAAGATCCTGTCTCAAAGTGAGCTTAAGGCCAGCCTGAACTGAAAAACCAAAAAAAAAAAAAAAAAGACAAAAAAAAAAAAAAAAAATTGGGGTCCCAAGATAAGCTTGACACTCTAAGGAGACACTTCCTTATCCCAAAAAAGAAAACAAATTATGTAATAAGAACAGAGAAAAATAAACATTAAAAATATTTAAATGAGACCCAAAATTAAAAATTCATTGAAGAGGAGGAAATAAATTATACATTGAAAATACTTTCAGTTAAAAATGCATTCCATATCCCTACTGAGCACCCGAGCTCAGCCTTGCCTCACTTAAACAGGTCAGAATCCTCACGTTAGCCCACAGCTGATGTCAGGGAGAAACAAAACACATATCATTAACCAGGAGGAGATCAAAATCCAAAGCTGAAAGTATGCTTTCTCTGAATACTGCTTGCACACTGTCTGTGTTAGTTGGATTTCTATCACTGTAACAAAATACCTGAGGTAAATCACTTAGAAGGAGGAAAGGTTTATTCTGGGTCATGGTTTCAGAGGCTTTAGTCCATAGTTACTTGGCCCGGTCCCTTTGGGCCTATGGTGAGAATGTTATGGTAGGGAGTGTGTGAAGC